GGGGGACAGAGCATCTGAAGCAGGCTCCTTGCTGACAGCAGAGAGCCCGACATGGGACTCGAACTTACGAACCCTGAGATCATGACCTGAGCTGAAGTCGGATGTTCAACCGACTGAGCCACCCAGGTGCCCCTCCTGTCTCAATTTTAGTTTCATATTTCCCTCAAAGGCAGGCTGACCAAAGAAATTACATATCAGTTCCAAATAGTTAAGTATAATCTAGATCTTGTGTAAAAAATTATCAGAGGGTCACAGAGCAGTGTCAGGAAGAGAACAAAAGAGAACGGTCTCCACCACGTCATGAAGACAGGAGGAGGAGGACCAAGATTAAAGGCGGGAAACCAGGATTCTCCCAAACAGGATTCCAAAGAACCAAGAAGCATCCCAAAGCTCGCTGAGCTTTCGGGCCTATTCGTTATTTATACTTTGCCGACTTCCAAAACAGGCTGAGACAGCTTATAATAAAAACATAAAGGTACATGGATAGTTGAGAGAAAGAGACCGGAAACTAAGCAGAGAAGAAAGGAAGAGGCTAGGACAGTTAATGTTTGCTTTCAAGTCCATGCAATAGCCACTCTACGGTGAGTTCTCTTATCCTGGTGACAACACAGGTGAAAGGTGAAACTGTTGTTATTTGAATTAAACAATCAATTGGGGACTTTCCTGTAAGGGTTTTACTTCTAAAAGAAGAGTCTCAAAACCACATTCTTAGAGAAAGGGGCAGAAAGTCATGGCATTGACGGGGCAAGGTCATGAGAAGATAAGTCACTTCGAACAAAGGGAAGCAGTTAGGGTCTTTCCACCCATACAAGAATCACCACCTCAGTACAGGACAGAGATCCTTGAGAGGATGGACACCGTGTGGGTGGGTGCGGTGCCATGAACAGGCCAGAGGTGGCCTGCGGAACTACCAGGAGAGGGAAGAGACTCTGCCACGCCCCCCACAGCAGAGGGGAACAGAGGTCCTCCTGACCGCACTGTCTCTTCCTCAGCCCGTCTCTCTGACTGACCCACCCAGAGTCCATACCTGGTCCTGACATCTGGGACAGATCCACATGCCCTTGGGAATCGTTTTCAGAGGAGGGTCTAAGCAGTCCAGATGATACACACGGGAACACGTGTCACACATAAGCAACTGGCCACTTTTTCTGCAAACGCTGCAAAAATCCTCATGGATATCACCCTAGGAAATTGAGAGGAAAGGTAAGAGAAAGGACAAAAAAGGTAAAATTTGCAGGTTAACATGCACATTCTGGATACATGTGTTTTAGGACAATCAGCTGTGCCCCCTCCAACATGTTACCAAAATATTCAAGGAAAGTAGGAATTACTAATGACTCAGCTCCCACCTACTCCATATAGCTGAGGTTCCCTGACAGGGACGGGGTTCTTAGAGTTTACAGAAAAGCTGTGTAAATCACCTAGGCCCAAATTAACGTTACAGGTGATAGCTCAGCATTTATTATGTTTTGATAGAATCCGACCCACAAATCATAAAGTTTGAAGACACTGAAATCCATTCATCAAAGTGTTCCACGATATGATACAAACAATTCTCATTACCCACCATTTTTCAGGGGAGTTTAGGATTGGGAAAGAGGACAGACAAGGAACGGAATACGGAATTTTAATAAACTCTTTGCTTGCTCAGGGAGGAAAACTACAGTGCAAGTTCAATGGGAAAAGATTAAGTCAGGAACAAATTAAACTCGCGTGAGCTTTCTAACATGAATTTAAAAAGCCAAAGCAACAGCTGACAATGTTCTCTTAAAACCAGTATTTGCACTTGGTGTTCAACGGACCATTCTATTCTGGGAGGCTTTATTTCTCCCTATAAAATATGTCATCACATGGGAATAGATGAGCAGCCCCCAGTGCACGCTGCCTGTCTCCCCTCCCCCACCATGGAGAGTTCTGGTATTCAGGTAAGTCTGCTAGAGCCCTCTGAACAGAAGGCACCATCAGAAAAAAAGCAGATCTACTTAAATTGGAGAGGAGAACACTAGGGGGGAAAAAGGCATTTAGGTAAAAAGTATTTTTCAGCAGGTCAATCCCTGGCCTGTTCTGAGAACGGGATGGATAAAGACAGGAGGGAAGAGAACACCGAAGAAGGGATGTGCTGGAGGTTAGCCAGCAGAGCAGCGCCATAGCCTGGAGCAGACCCCTTTTCACTTTCAGTGTGTTGGTTTAGATTTCTAGGCTATTCTGCCAGCAGGCCTAACACAGAAAATCCACACAGGAAGCAATGACATAGACAGCAATGCTCACTTCTTCTTTTCTATGATGTGTAACCCCCTCAACCACCACTGTTGAAGGCACATATCTTCCCAGGCCTACAATTTCTCTCTCAAGAAAAGGAAACTTTCTCTATAATTCACTAGGGTATCCATAGCCTAGAAAACTGGCTGCAATAGATGGGAAGATAATCGGTGTGGGCAGATTTTAAATTTTTCTTTGTAAAAAAAAATGTTAACTCTGGGCAAAAAAACAAAAACAAAAAACCCCTCAGTATACGAGCAAAAATACTGCATGAGAATGCACCCTCACAGTTCAGCTTTGAGGCAGCAAAAGAGGTTAAGGTCCCATCCCTCGATTAACGGTAACTTTCTTCTTTCTTTTTTTTTTTTAAAAATTTTCTTTTATGTTTATTTATTTTTGAGACAGAGAGAGACAGAGCATGAATGGGGGAGGGTCAGAGAGAGAGGGAGACACAGAATCCGAAGCAGGCTCCAGGCTCCGAGCTGTCAGCACAGAGCCCGACGCGGGGCTCGAACTCAGACTGTGAGATCATGACCTGAGTTGAAGTCGGACACCCAACCGACTGAGCCATCCAGGCACCCCCTTTCTTCTCTCATTCTTAAAATCAAGCTGAAGGACACTCTTCTCTAGAGAAGCGGTCTTTCTTGAACCTTAGTCCTGTGTCAATCTGCATCTTTATGAAGTGTATAAAAATTTTAAGGCTTCAGAGACTGTTTTAGGTAAATCCCAGATACACCATGAGTGATGAAGTAAGCAAAACACACTGGACATCTCATTCTGTCGGGTAAAGAGTCTGCTCACTTCCCTTTGCTCTCGAGCAAGGAGCATGTCAAGGAGTGGACAGCAGAGAGTATGTAAATAATCTCCAGGAAAAGAACCTCTGATCCCATTTCCATGTTCTAGAGCAGCACTTCTCAGTCTGTCTGCTGTGAGGACCCCGTTACACTCTGAAAATTACTAAGGACCTCAAAGAGCTTTTGTTTATGTGAATTGTATTTGTTGATATTTAATATATTAGAAATTCTAAAACTTTCAAATTTTGAAATAATTATAGAATGACAGCACGTTACAAAACTAGGATGCTGAAAAATTATAAAGCCCCAGAACACACAAGTGCACACTCCACAAGCCATCAGAGTTATGACATAGTTACATGTCATATATTATCTGGAAAATTCCACCGGTTACTCTTGAGAGAAGGAGAATGAAGATGGCACAGAGTATTTCAATATTATCATGAAAATAGTTTTGACCCCCGAGGAGTCTCAGGGACCACACTTCGAGAACTACTGCCCATAGAAATGAATAATAAAATGCCAACGTACAGACTTTATCTACCCAGAATTGGTTCTCTGCTTAGCTTAAAGAGAGCAGGGGATTCCCATGGAGGTGCTGCCCTAGGTAAAAAGGCTCAGGCTCTGGTGACTGAACTACTACCATAAACCCAACGTTAAACTGAAAGCTGGCTGACCCAGGGCACTCTGCTGGGAGCTGAGGATGTATGGTGTTTGGAAACACCCTGGCTAGATCAATTGCAACTCCGTCACTTGCTAAAAGAATTTTCCAACTAAGTCAACACATCTTCCCTGCTCCTAAAATGATAGTGGCAACAAGGTATATCCTGAGGATTAGTGCCTGGCTGGGTTTTGTACTCCAAGTCCTTCTAGACGGTTATTGATCCTCAGGAAATGCTTGCCTCTCAACTGTGATTGTTTAATTAATGTTGTTGGGGCTTGTGCTACCCAGCAGCAAACATACAGAGTCCAGTGTGTTGATTTTAATCACTGCCACTGTTGGGATATGACAAAAGTAGGAGTCAATTATCTTTAAAAAAATCCATTCCACTAGGTTTAACTTAGAAAATTCTAACATATTTAGTGGTTTAAGAAAAGCTTTCTTTTACCTCTGGATTTCTCAAAAGAACAGTGTTTGCGTTTTAAGACGAAACCTGGCAGAAGCTTTTCCTTTGTGATTTCATGAGTAGATCCTTTGGGTTCAGTCTCTCAAAGAACGCCATAAACCCCCACCAGCCAAAAAGCACAAAAACCAAAACAACGTTTAGGAAAGAGACTCACAGGCAGAACCACAAAATCCTCTGTCCTCCAGCATTTGTACACCACCCCGTGGGAGACCCCTACCAGGAGCTTATGAGCTGGCAATCCCTTTGGCAATGCTTCAGCTGAAGAAGAGCTGGGACAATCGTTGGTGCCAGCAAACAAGGTTTCTGACAGGGACTCCTGGGACTCATGAGGCAGGACAGGCAGAACACCTTTACCCATTACTAATCCAAAAAGTCGGGCAGGCTGGATGAAATGCTGAATGTCGAGAGCAAGAATGAGCCTGTAGTCACCATTTAGGTCCAAGGAAGGAAGCCTGCCAAGGAACAGAACTCCAGTATGACCCGGTCCTCCAAAGAGGACTCTTCCTTTGCTGCTTCTGGAATTTCCACTCAGAACGTGCATATGGTATTCTTTTGTTCTTTGGCAAAGGGAAGACCTTTAGTAAGCACTGAGAACCTTCCAGTTCAAGGGGCATTTTACCTGAAGATGACCCTAAAGACAAGCTCTGTAATCCACACAAGAAATGGGACATGTACAAAATGAAACTCTGGCTTTCCCTCCTCAAACCTGCCCCTCTTGGCATCTCCAGTAAAGGACAGTTTCATCTTAGTTCTAGTTGCTTAGGCCAGAAACTTTGGCTTCACCCTTGACTATTCTCTTCTTCTCATACCCATCATCTAATCCTGCTGGCTCTTCGAAATACATGCAGACTCGGCCATGTGTCTCCATCTCTCCTTCTAGCACCCTATCAGGCCAAGCCGTCCTCGGCTCTTCCTGGATGACTGCCCCAGCCTCCTCACTGGTCTCCCTGCTCCCACCCTATCCTTTCCACAGTCTCTTCTCCAAGTTTCAGACACAGTGGTCCTTTTAAAATCCAAGCTGGTTTTTTAAACACCTTAAAAATAGTAAATGCGGGCAAGAACCATCAAAGGATGGTAAAACCACCGGGTTAACAGTTTGTTGGAGAACTGGATGTTTTTGAGACTCAAAGCTATCTCTGCCAGAGAAAATAAGCACCTTTACAAGTGGAGAAATTTCATGTGATCTATCTTAATTAAGAGATAAAAGCTAACATCACCAACAATGGGACAGACTGACCGACAACACACGCCGCTTGTGATGCATGGAGGACTCACCACCACGTACTTAGTGTTCCTACAAAAATGTAAACCTTGAATCTACTCCTGAGGAAACAATCCCATCCTAATGGAGGGACACTACAGAGCTGTCCTACCTTTTAAGAAATGTCAGTGTCATGAAAGACAAAGAAAGGCCGAGAAACTGTTCCAGAGTAAGGAGAAGAAAGAGACAATACCATGACAACAAATATCAAGAGGGATCTTAAACTGGATTCTGGAGCAGAAAAAACAAAGTGCCATTTAAGCAATTATTGAACAACCGCAGAAATCTGTATACAGACTGTATATTATATAATAATATTTACTTAATATTAAATGTCCTCAATTTGACAACTGTGACTATATCAGAGAATACCTTTGTTCTGAGAAGATATATGCTGAAGGTTTTTAAGACGAAGATTTAGGATGTCTGCAACTTCTTAACTAATTCAGCAAAGAAGTGTGTGTGGGGGGGGGGGCATATGTGGCAAAACGGTAACAGTGAATCTACGTGAAAGGTATGTATTTATCTTTTGTATTTTACTGCAACTTCTCGTAGGTTTGAAAAATTACATCACTCCTCTCCTCAAAACGCCTCCAGCGGTCTCCCATTTCACTGTGAGCAAAAGCCCCAAGGCCCTGCACCCTTTACTCTGTCACCTCTGGGATCTCCTCTCCCGCCATCTCACCGCTCCCTCTTTCCAGCCGTCCTGGCCCTCTTGGGCCTTCTTGCTTTGGCTCACCACCACGTACACGCCCACCTCAGGGCTTCTGCGAGGCTGTTCCCTCTGCAGGGAATGCTCCCCCAGACACAGTTCACTTCCTGTTGGAGAGGCCTTCTCTTCCCACTCTCCGTAAAATAGGAACCTGCTGCTACAACTCCTTATCCCCCTTATTCTGTCCCAGTTTTCTTTAGAGCACTTATCACTACCTTTGATATGTTCATTTGCTTATCACCTGCCCATAATATGTATAACATAATACGAGCTCCCTGAGGGCAGGGAGATGTTCTATCCCTAGCCTCAATAATAGCACTTGCGCAGCAAAGTACTAGTGCTCAGTATTTGCTGAGTGAATGCACTGCTTTCTAAATGTTCATTTAAAATCTTAGGGCACTTTATGGGGCGCCTGGATGGCTCAGTCGGTTAAGTGTCCGACTTCAGCTCAGGTCACGATTTCACAGCTCTTGAGTTTGAGCTCCATGTCGGGCTCTGTGCTGACAGCTCAGAGCCTGGAGCCTGCTTCGGATTCTGTGTCTCCCTCTCTCTGCCCCACTCTGCTTACGCTCTGTCTCTGTCTCTCAAAAATGACTAAACATTAAAAAAAAAATTTTTTTTTTAAAATCTTAGGGCACTTTATAGAGAACTAATGGTTGCCAGAGGGGATGTGGGGGGGGTTGGGGAATGGGTGAAACAGATGAAGGGGATTAAGGGTACACTTATCTTGAGCACTGAGTAATGTATAGAAGTGTTGAATCATAGACTATATTGTACATTTGAAACTAATATAACAGTGCATGTGAACTATGCTGGAATTGAAATTTAAAACCTAAAAATAAATAAATAAAAACAAGAAACAAAAAAATAAAATCTTAGGGCACTAGTTTACAATTCTGTACTATCTGCATGATGAGCTACTAAATATCCGACACTTTTTCAGGAACGTGTTTGATCAAACCTGATGAATAAAGTTACTTGAAAGAAAAGTTTTCCACTTCTTGAATTCTACCTGAAGCAGGAAACAAGGACTGCTAGGGGAACGTACGCCTTGTTCATTTTCCTCATCCCAAAACACGGACGATGGAAAACTGAGCACCTTTCAATTTTATGAGCTGACTTCCCACCCCATCCCCCTTCCTGAGAGCTCATTCACAGCAGATCAAATCCACATTTTTAAAAACCGATTGAGCCTCCTCATGTTGTACATGATTCTCAAGGACATGGCAGGACCTTACATGATATACCGTGTCCTGTCGGGATTACTGCTGTTCCAGGGTTAGTCAAGGAGATGCAGCTGGTAAGGAGACAACATATGACAACGGTTTCCCCAATTTAAACTCTCAGGAAGACAGCGTGCTTTTCCCAAGTTACTTACGTCTGTGGAGGTGGGGCTGGGCAGGGACACAGGCTGAACAGGTGCAGGGAAAGTGAATGTGGTCTCTGTCTTTTCATTTTCAGGGGAGTCAGGATGACTGGATGGGGGGGATGTTGGGGTAAGGGCTCCAAACCCCAGTACTGCATTGTATTTTGGAGGACGACCTATATACCAAGAGAAGGGAACAAAAGGGAAAAAGGGGGAGGGAAAGAAAGGGGGAAAAATGATCTTACATACCTTTGGCCAGTGTTCCTCATTGGCTAGCATGGAAAAGGAAGTGAGGTAGCAGACAGAGGTTAATACAACAGTCCCAAAGAGAGGAAGGGAAGCAAAGATTTAAATGTCATTAGAAACAACTGCATGAGTCTCAAAAGAAAGGAGGATAAGAGAGCCTTGGAGAATGACAGGAGTGGCTGCGTCATGTTAAAGGGCCTCGCCTGGGGCAGATCATGGTGACGTCCTGGACTATTACAATTTGAGATTTCTGATGTGAGAACAAGATGTCAAAGTTCAACGGGGGTCAAAGCTAGGAATACGAATTTGTTTTTCCACACCTTCTAAATATTGGTCTCCAAAGTTTCTCTGTAACCATCATTCTCACAATCATTAGTGATTCCCAGTTCCCATAGATATATTTAAGATTTCTGTTTTTCCTTTTCTCTCCTATCTATATTTTGGTCATTTCACTGACTGTGAGGGTGGAGAAAGGCAAACAGGAGGCAAAATTCAAGTTAACTATTCTTACCCCTTGCTGGCCGAGCTAGCGGGAAAGATATTCTGGGACTAGCTGGAACCTAAGAGCTAAAAAGATGTTCTGAGCTTAACAGTGATTTTAAGTGTGTCTGGAGTCAGATACCATCCCCGGTTGATCAAAAACTGTCTCCCCGCTTCCATCACAAACATTCTGGTAAACTACATGTCTAAGGACCTGGGTCTATTACCAAAGCTCAGAAAAGGCCCTGCCATCAGCAACACTGCTGAAAGACGGATTTGAGCCAGGGCATTGGGAATCAAGCCTCATGGCTCCAGAGGATCTATAAACGGACCCTACTGGCTATGGCAAGACTGGTCAACTACTCCTGCCTTATGGTACATCCAAGCCAGGATCCTTGTCAGAAGGGCCAGGAGCAGAGCTTCTAAGCTTTGGGTGATCAAAAGTATATGCTCAGCACACCAAAGGGAAAAGAGGAGGAAAAAAAAAATGCCAGAGAGGCTCACAACTGCCTACGAGCACTGGTGAATGGTGCAGAGGATCAGAACCTTACCAACAGTTATAAATTATATCAGGACTACGCATCAGAGCCACGGTTCTGTCAGACATTACACGAATATTACCTATCTGTGTTAAACTGGTGATGTCTGCAGTACAAAGATCACACAGGCTGTCTTTCCTAGGGAATCAGGGCTGCCCAAAAGGGAAGTAAAAGATGAATGTTCTTTGTTTACCCTCAGAAGCACATCCTAGGCATTGTGAATACAGGCTTTCATCCTCTGACCTTGGCAAGCAATGCCAAGGTCTTTCTGGCTTGTTTAACCCCCGTCCTCTTAGCAGATACTCCCCACCGGCAGACCAATTAACTGAGGCTTCGGACTGAGGGCTCCTTTCTGAGAACCGGGTCAGAGGTCACTAAAAATTGCCAAAATTAAAACCACAAAAAATAACCCACGGCACTGGTTACTGTGACCCAGGAATCGACAGGAGGCAATGACTTGGGGTTTCCCTTGGAAATATTTTTGGCTACTTAAAGGACAGGGCTAATGAAACGTTAGAATGGGTCACTGAGGGTGGGTACGCTATCTCTTTCGGGTAAGGACGTGGTAATGGTACAGCTGTAGCCTTGACTAAGGAAGACAAAAGAAAAGAGTGTGGATGACCTCCTAAGTTTCCAACCGCTCCTGAGACAGTGTGTGCATATGCAAAAATTAGTATGCTACTCCACTCACTCTGCAACCTTTCTAGCCTGGAACTATAATTCAGGGACACATTATCATGTGGAGAAAGGGACCTTGGGATGTATTACTGACATCAAAGTACAATTTCAGAACCTTGTTTATGAGCTCAAACTCTGAGCTATTAAGACCTATTTAGACCTGCATGGAGGGTGTTGTGGCCTCTGCCCACGAATTAAGGTGCAATGCCCACCCTGGGAGGTCTGAAATATGGGGATGGAGCTCTTTAGGAACTTCTGCCTCGGGGAGCCAGTTTTGACAACGACCTTCTCTTCCTTAGCTGGAGATGCCCTCAACTCCTAGATCCTAAGTTCTTGGTGTGGCCACCTCTCTCCTTCCTGGAAAGTCTGCGGCTCACGGAAACTTGAGTCATGCTCTGGTCTCACTGGCAGCAGGATGACCTAGACGCTACTAAGAACACCTTGGCAACAGCAGTGCTCTGTTATGCTCAATGATGCTAAAATGCTTCCTTTCGCACAATGTTCTGTTCCCTGTGCTATTCAAGGACAGCCTGGTGGGCCTGGGGCAGAAATGCTGTATTAAGCCACCTCCTTGAGTCAGCCTTGCCAGAATCCAAGGAAAGGCAACTTTTGATTCAGTATACAGAACACTAATAAGAAATCTCACTGTCTTCCCCCCACCCATTTTCAGAGAATGACAATAACAAAACTATTTTCAAGGGATTTAGGAGTTAGGCTCTAGGACAAAGGGGAGGAAGGGGCGGGGGGGTGGGGAGAAACACAACACAGAAAGCAGAAGCAACAGCAAGGGAGAGCTACAAAAAGGTACTCACCTCTCTTCCGGGTCCCAGGATGCATTGTACTGTTCAGGTATGTGACTGCACTCTTCTTACGCTTTGAGGATTGAAGAAGGAAAGGTAACTGGTTGAATAGCACGGTTACTACCGATACTGGCACAAGCTATAGACCAGGCGTAGCACGCCTGTCAACATGCCAACGAGTTAGTGCTAGTCAACCCAAGGTCTCAGTGCTAAATGGGCTTTATTATATATACTTGGCTCTGAGAGAATATTCCAGAGAGGTCTGCCTCTGCTTCAGATGACGGCTGAGTTGAAGCCAAGAGGAGTGACATTTTTAAGGTGGGTCTGTATTTGCTCAAACTTAGGAAAAAAACTAAGGGGAAAGCAGTGAATAATAAAAATGAAACAGGATGATCAGCTGGAGAAAAACCTATCATTTCACAAAGCGGGCCAAGTACAATCAGGGTACTGCTCTTCAGCAGGTTTTCAGATGGGAGGTGATGGAAAAAATCATAAACAAAACTAGAACAGGAAGGGCCAAGCTCTGGCCAGGAATACCTCTGGCTCAAAGACTGCTCCACTGTATACTGGATTGGCTGTTGTTCTTCTTTTTCGCTCTTGCCTCTTGCTTTGGATTTCTTGGGAAAGCAAAAGGTCTGAATTAGAAAAGAGATATGGAGAGCCTCAAAAATTTAACTTCATTTTTTATCTTTTGGCTTTCCCAGGACAAATCAGAAATGGGACAAATCTCTTTGTTTCACTGCAGCCTCAGCAGAGGCAAGCATACCACTGGGAGCAAATAATGCAGGACCATCTATGCTCACCTCTCAGAAAGCGAGACCATGCTGTCGTATAATGTGGCTCTCTGTGACCAAGAGCTTAACGGTGGACAGCGTGTGTAAATAAGCTATCCTCATCTATTTTTAGATCACTTTAATATAGGGGTGGATGAACTTCATCCATAGACCTGGACTGAATAACCATAGTTCACCATTCTTGAATTAAATGACTAGGACAGGTATAGCCTTGTAACTGTTCTTAGGATTCTGATAACCTAGCGTGACTGAAAAATACAGACAGAGACTTGTCAGAGGGGCATTTGATACTCCATGCGGTCAGGAAAAAAAAAAAGTCGCTTTAATCCAGGCAAGTGGGGAGTCTCCCCTGGACAGCAGCGTGGATCACCACAGGGAGGGGAAGGGATGAATATTAGATAGAGGAAAGGCATGTTTGACTCCAAAGGAAATAAAGTCCACACTAGTTGAATCATACTCTGTTGGCGTTTCAGTGTTCTATATATCTTAGCAATAAAGTCAACCCCATTTTCTTTCTTTCTTTTTTTTTTTTTTTAAGTCAACCCCATTTTCAAGAATAAAGCTCTGGGCCAGAAATAAGGCAGCACCACAAATATCTTCTCTTACCTTCTAGATGGTCATGTGTTACCAATCCTAGAGACACCATGAAGGCAAGTTTCTGTGCCAGAGAAACAAGAATGTGTTTCAGTTTGGGTTCTCACAAAGCCAACTGCATGTTCCTAGTTAGATTCCTAGGCAAAGCCAGTCCAACAGGCTGATCACTTGAAGGAGGCCGAGATCAGGTGACCAAAGAACAAACACCTTCTAGAGCCACTCTGGAGGCTTTCTGGTCTTACGGGGATCAAAAGAGAAGGACTGGGACCTGCATGTTCCACTTTCTCAATGACAGAGATCAGTATCTTTGAGTGACCTAAGTTTTTTTGTTGTTGTTGTTGTAGTTGTTGTTTTCCAAAAAGCCTCTTAGATAGGAAGACGATATCACACTCAAAAACATGCAGAGGGTTACAAAGAGCTTCCCATACAACAAGCTCCAAATTCCAAGTACTTCACTTGTCCTAACAGGTCAAGGGTTCTAACATTTTTACTACCAATGACCGGACAGTGCTAACTTCAGGCTAAATGAGTTTTAGGAACAACAGCAGATGGTTCTGCTTAATACTATGATTTTTAAATGAAACGTGGACCTAAAAATTACAGAGCAGTCTCTCTTTGGAGACCACTCTCAGGGCTCCATCAGAAGTTAAATTGATTAGAATACTGAACCCCAAAGCTGGAGCATTAGACGCTTAAAGTTGGAGGGAGCAACATACTGATTCCTGTTTTGCTCTGTGGTTACATGTGGTCTAGAAAGCACATCTTTGCCTGTGGTTGCTATCTATGCCAAATAATACATCATCAATTTCTCTCACAGATAACAGAGAACATCAGCAGTTGTTAGGAGACATATTCCTGTACAGTTGTTTATATCATAGTTTGGTCTTTAAAAATCCCGACCTATTCAACAGCAACAGGATCTATTCAACCCTCAACATTCAATACAAATGATATTTTGGCCTGAAGTGACAGGTTCAAGCTATTTAAGATACTGAGTGTTTTAGGAAGAAACAGTCCCTGAACGAGGCACTTGAGAACACAGAAGTGTCCTTTAGTGGTATCCTCAGAGTTCTGAAGAAATGTTTTTATTTTATTTCTTATTTAAAAAACAGGTGGGCACCTATCCCCCTGACAGCCAGGGTACGTCAGCAAGGAAAAGCACTCTTGGGACTTGCTGCCATGCTGAAATAGCATACATTTTGTGATTGCCAATTAACTACATTCCTGCTTTCCATGAATATTCTTCACAACCTAATCAAGATTAGAAGGCTGTCTGCCAACTGTTCTCTGTTAATAAAACAGTATGTGGACTGACATTCAGAGGCAGCTTCTTTTGATCAAGTAACAGTACTCGTCTTGGCCAGTCACATCCAACTCATCTTTGCCAGTCTAGATCAAGCTCACAAAAAATTATTAAGTGAAAAAAAAAAAAAATCTCCTCTCGTCTGGAACAGATTTTCAGTGATAAAGAGAATAAAAAGTTGTCAAGAACTTTTGCCTCATCTATGTATCACACGTGTGCCAAGAACTAATTTATTCTCTTTATGGCAGTGATTTCACCAGTCAGAAGGTGAAATATACATGACTACACATGGTGGTACTTGCTTGCCCACACTGGGCAACTAACATAAGATATCCTTTGGTTTCCTTTGATAATTTTCTGGATGACTTCGTAAGTTCCTCAGCAATTTGCATCACTGGTCCTTCTTTCTGGCTCAAGTTTTGGTCTCTTTTTCAAAGATATATTAAAAATTAATCCATTTCATATCAGAAAGAATTATAATTTATACTTGTTTTAGAAAAACCTGCACCCAATAAATCACTGCTTTTAAAAAAAGGACATGAAGCTTTGATGGCTTCCTGCCACGATCTGAATGGTTTCATTAAAAAGAATGCACTGAGGATACAGGGAAATAGAGTGCTGGTCTAATAAAATCCAACTATTATATCTTCATCATCGTATTACCTGCACACATTTTTCTTTTAGAGCTGCTTATGCAAAAGCCAAACTAAAAAATTCTCTCGTCTAAGGGGACACGTGAATTTACATTCTGTATTTGTACCAGTCCTGTTTACTATGTGACTCTGTAATTCTATCCTAAGTTATGGTACATATGTTACTATTTTCATCCTTACTTTTATGCTTCAATGAACTCCTTTTAGGCTACTGGTTTATCTGGGATTTGAGAATCTGGTGCAATATAACAGTAGTAACAAAAGTGCACATGTTAACAACTATAATCAATAACATAAGCAGACCTCAGCTGAGTGAACTGTATGGACCTCTTAGAAATGCTGGCTGAGACAACACATAATTATCATGAGGAATGCAATCGGATACCTGGGAAAATGATCACTAATCTCACATTTCAAATTTGTAACACGTGCATGAAATGTCTGTATGCCAGCTCAGGGACACGCCAGGACCCACTCAATCTACCTTAGGCCAAACTGACTTGGCAATAACATTACTGAGTCGTGTGGAAGCACAAGAAAAGGAAAATCAAGTGATTCGGAGGGCAGGTGTCTCTCCTGGTTTATGAGAATAAGTCACATCTCATAGACTGAGCCATGCCTTTGGAGGGCTAAGCCTACCTGAGGGTTCTCCTCCCGTTTTGGTTTGGGTGCAGCAGGTGGAGTGATGGTACGGCTCTCTGTTTGTTTCTCATCTGTTTCCGTGTGGGATTTAATCGTCTAAGAAAGGAAAAGTAAATGAAAATTCAGAATTCACTTTTCATTAAAAAAATGAAAACATAGTTTGTAGACAACAAAGAAGGAGAAAAGAACATACTCAAATTGGAAACATATTAATAAAAGAGATAATATGGACTATATTTTGGAAGGGCAAAAAGTAAAATTTAAGGCCCTAGTTGAAATAATTAAATTGTATAACTAGAGTAGATATGAATCTATAACTGTAATAGTCTAAACTACACAAAAAGAAAAATCCACAGTTTAATTCCTCTGTATAAAAATGAGTATAGGCTGCTCTGATTTCAATGTATTTTAGGATGTAGGGACAGTTTTCCAGAGCAAGCCCATTCTTATTACACATAGGTCAAGCTCCAGTCCACTGCAAGCTTAAGATCTGAATAACGTAAAAAAGAAAAAAAAATCTTGCGTACACATTCTTCTCTTTCCAATTCCAATCATCACCTAAGAGAAGAGGCAGAATTACCCTCACTTGGGATATTTAACACCTGCCTGTAGCATCCATTAGAGGAGAGATGCGCTTGCCAAGAAAAGGTCATCTTGTAAGAGGCTAACAATCCGATTACCCCCAACTCTGTCTTCCAGATGCATCCATTCCGACAAAAGAACACCAGTATCGTTGTCATCTTTAAGAACAAATGGCACCTAGAAACTGGTAGGCTCAGTTTGCATTACTATTCTTATTATGATCCAATGGCTAATTCATTTTATGAACCCCTCTGGAAATACTGAAATGATATTAGAAAAGTGGATACAAAAACTGTGAACACAAACCTACTTTACTTTTTCAAATAAAAAACACACGGATGCTAATGGTCTTTTTGTATGGTAACAAGAAATTAAATGAGGGTAAAACTGTGTGATTACTAATGAGTAGGATTCTGTCCTGTGAGCAGGACAGCAAAAGTTCTCAAAAATCATTATGTCGTGAATTATGTTACTAGATCTGAAGAACACATACAATCTCAAAGATCTTTCACTTTCTTTCCTAGCCACTTCCACATTTTCCTTCTGCTTCTCATATTTATTATTTTAGGAGAATGTAAGCATCTGCCATTATCAATACTGTGGCAACCACTGTTCTGGGGCAAATGCTGCCTGATTTTTTTTTTTAATGTTTACTTATTTATTTTTGAGAGAGAGAGAAGGAGCAAGGACATGTGTGAGCAGGGAGGGGCAGAGAGAGGGAGACAGAGAATCCCAAGCGGGCTCTGTGCTGTCAGTGCAGAGCCCGATGCAGGGCTCGAACCCACAAACCGTGAGATCATGACCTGAGCCCAAACCAAGAGCTGGAAGGTTAACCGAATGAACCACCCAGGTGCCCCATGATATTTTATATTTTACCAATGCCCTATTCTATTTCCTTCTCTATATGATAAGCTACTTGAGAGAAGACACTGTTCTATACACATTTGCAGTCCTCTGTGCCTACCTAGTACAATGCCTTCCAGAAGAATCACGTACTTCTCTCTCACATTTTTTTTTAACCAAAAAGGACACATTTCCTCCATACAACAAACCACCAAATACATCTATAAGGGTACACGATGGGGAAGTAGGTTATAGTGTCATCTTTAAGGGCCTGGATGTCCAGAAAGCTTATTTTCATAGCTTTCTGAGTGAGGAAGGGCAGGAAGTCTGAGGGAGGGGAGATAAGAGAAGGTCACCTGGAAGGGTCTGCTAATCCACTCCAAGGTTGTGTGAAATTTTTCGGGGTCTCCTGGTTCTACCTCTAAGGCTGAGTGACACACACAGTGGCAATGCCTCTGGGAAAGGACAAGCCAATTCCTCTCCACTAAGAGTTGGGAGTTGAATTCAACCCAGTTGAATCTGGGTTCAAATTTGCTCTCTCATTCAAGAAGAGTACAATTATCTCAGGGTTGTATAAAAAACACCAAAAGCATCCAAAAAAAAAAAAATTAAAACAATAAAAAACACTGGGGAGACATCTTTCTCTCATGGAGCTCCTGCTCGGGGGAAACCAGGCCATGCTGTGAATAGCACTGCGCAGAGGCCTGTGCGGTAAAGGAACGAAGCTCCAGCCAGCAGCCAGCGGGCAGTGAGGCCTGCCAACAACCACGGGACTGAGCTGGGAAGTGAATTATCCAGCCCCAGTGGAGCCTTGAGATGACTACAGCCCTGGCTTACAAGTTTGAAAGCAAACTTGTGAGGGACCTTGAGACAGAACCACCCAGCTAAGAGGCAAACTGATTCCTGACCCTCACAAGCTATAGGGAATAATAAAATATTTGTTGTTTTAAGCTGCTGAAAGCAAACCAAAAACATTAGGGCTGGGGGAGTGACAGAAATGGCAGAACAGGGAGCTCTAAGAATTAGTCCTTCCACTGAAGCAATCATTAAGCTGGCAAAAACAGAATCCACTTTTTAGAATTCTGGAATCTAATAAAAAGCTTATAGCAACCAGGGGGACACTGACTGAAGAAAGAAATTGCTAAATTTCACTAAGAAAGCATTTTTTCCTTACCTATCTACAAATCCCCATTCCACAGCTTGGGCAGAGGCTCTGCAGATGGCAACCTGTGTTCCCAGCATGGCTTGCCGGTGCTAAGGGAAACAATACGGACCTTCTAAAACACCCGTGGTTGTGCGTTTTGATCTGTGTGGTGGTTCCCTGAGGACTGGTACAGAGGCTGACCTTTGTGTTGCCCACCTTATTAGGCCAAAGTGGCTTTCGGGGTGACATCTGATGAAAGCATCTAAAGATATATGTTACCCATAGTCACCTGGTGTAAGGGAGATGGTGGATGGAATATACAGCAGACAGACCTAAAGGCCTGGGAAGGAAGAGGCTGAAGAAGACGACTCCTGGAAGAGTGATGGCTTTCAAGGGCTATCACATATACTGGGGCATCCAGAAGGTACTGCACATTCCCAGGGCTAGATGCATGTTTAGAAAAGATGTGAGAGAACTCTAGGTTTGCACTGCTGGCTGATCTTTGAGCTGTACCCAAGGAAGAGGTGAAGGCTAAGGCAGAGTTACAGATGGCCTGGCTTAGAACGGACGAAGTAACCCTGCTCAGAGCCAATGTGCAAGGACTGGGAAAGTTGTTTTGTGTCTTTTTAAAAAAAATTTAGTTGTTGTTGTTGTTATTATTATTATTATTATTATTATTGTTTTTTTTGGCTCCAGTTGTTTAAGAAAATCCGTCAGGTCACTAGCTGACCACTGAGACAACAGAACAGAGAGTTCAGTGACTACACATGACAAGAAATAACAGTTTTTGCAAAAACAGTTTGGTAAAGGCACTAAACAGATAACTGCAGTCCTCAACCAAACCCTGGGGTGGGAGGAGAATCTAATCTCCAGAGTTATCATACTGTAATTTCAAAATGAAGAGTTTTCAACAAGAAATTGGAAGGCATACAAAGAAAACAGGAAGGTATGGCCCATTTGTAGGGAAACAAAATCAACAAAAACTGGCCTTAAGGAAGCCCAGTCCAGCCCTGGACTCTCTAGAAAAAAAAACTAATTAAATATGCTCAAAGAGCTAATGGAAACTATGGACAAAGAACTGAAATAAACCAGGAGAACAATTTCTCACCAAAAAAGACACTACCCATAAAGAGATAGAAATTACTGAAAGGAACCAAATAGAAACTCTGGAGCTGAAAAGTATGCAAGTTGAGATGAAAAATTCTCTAGAAGGGTTCAGGCAAAAGAAATAATCAGTGAAGTCCAAGACAGGACAACTGAAATTGTCCAGTCTGAGGAACAGAAAGGAAAAACATGAAGAAAAATGAACGGAGCCTAAGGGACTTGTGGGATATCATCAACATACGCATTATGGACTCCCGGGGGGACAGGACAAGCAGAGAGAGAGAGAGCAGCAGAGATAATACCTGAAGGATTAATAGCTCAAAACTTCCCACACTGGATGAAAGACAGAAATCTACACATCCAAGAAGCTCAGTGACATCCACGTAGAATAAACTCAAAAGACATTCACAGTCTGTGGGAAAATGGCAGAGCAGGAGGCCCCTGAGTTCTCCCTGTCCCCACATTTACAACCAGATTTTAACTACATCCAAGTCAATAAGCAGGAATGCAATCTGAAGACTGGAGCAACACATTCTATAACTAAATATAGAGAAGAAGCTGCATCTGAAAGGTCAGGAAGGTCAGAAAGGCAGAGGGAGGCTGCCGGCAGGAGGGAGAGAGCTGTGTGCAGGAGAGAGAAAAATGGGCCCTCGTACCAGGGAGCTCACATGTCGAAGAATGATCCCCATAACATTTGGCTTTAAAAACAGGGCTGAATTCCATGAGTTTTAAAACCAGTGGGACTTGGAGCCTGAAGCTTTAAAAGTCAGCTGACTCAACACTGGGTGAGCCAGGGTGAGGGTGAATGAAAGCTGGGTCGCCATCCTTAAAGAGAGCAGGCTGAGCCAAGAAAACATAAAAACGGCAATTTTCACAACACAACACTGGGGGCAAATGGGAGACAGATCCGTTCACATTGATTTTGAAGTGTGTTGGGGGACTTCCCTGAAAACAAGGGAGCTGGCAGATGCCATTCTCTCCACGCCCCTCCCCACTGCCACCAACCTGCAGCATAAACAGAGCCACCTGCGGGAGGCAGCACTGCATAGACACTTGCTACCTAACCAGCTGGCAGGGGCACCACACCCACGAGCTCTCCAGAGGACTCATCCACTCTAAGCCTGCTAGCCATGGCCTTAGGGCAAATTTTGTTAGTGTACATGCCCGCCCAGCCACTGAGTGCACAGCTGCCACAGCATGCCCTTGCCATCGTGCACCAGGCCCAGCTGTGCCCACCTCACTCCCCTGGCCAGCCTGGCACACAGTCCCCAAATGCTTTGGGAGATTCCCCATAGGACAGGGCTAGTGGCCCAGCGCAAATTGTGCTAACACTACCATCCCCCTCACGAGTTCCCCAGAGGGCACGACCCCTCAGATGTCTGCATGGGTCCCACTAACACCACAGACAGCAAGCACAGCCCAC